TCTGTTGTATTAAGTTTAGCAGAGACAGGAGCAGCAAAACGCATACAAAAAGGAATGAACATTGCCTGTTTGAGTAAATCACGTCGGCTGTCTTTGGTAAATCTCGTTGACTGTTGTTGCTATGCGACATGCTAACATCATGCATAGCATAACACAGCAACGACTGTTACTAAAAAAATTGCACTTGCTTGCATATGGTGAACAAAATGACAAGTTCTATTGAAGTTTTTGAAAGTGCATCCATTATAAGATTGAGTGCATAAATTCAGTGCAATCCAAAGCACAGGATTAGCGATAAGAATTTTATACAGTTTGTTGATTTGGTTGGATTATAAAATATCTCAGACAGCAGATGCATGTGTAAAGCAATTATACACCCACCCTTTAGTTTTAGAAAGCATTGCGCAGCTCTGTTTTAATGAAATGTACATACGTATATATATATTTTAATTTTTTTTTTTATTTTTTTTTTTGTTTTATTTTATTTTTTACAAATACATCTTACACGTCTCCGTTTCTCGTTTCTCGCTTCTCGCTTAATTTGCTTGCCAACGATTTTCAGCATATTTTTAAGGAGATTCAGACCAACAAAAACAAAACGTTCAAATCTTTGTTGTTGCTGTACTAACTCTCGCAGTCATTCTTAAACTCACTCTCAGTGAGTCTCACACATTTGTTATGCTAAAACATGCAACACAACTGCACTCTTAGTGTTGAATGCTGGGCTGCTGAGCTGCTGGGCTGACTAAGGTATATTTTTTATTTCTGTGGTTAAGAATTTAGTCTTATTGTAAATATTTACTGACTTCTTCTGTATACACTACACTGAACAGTGAACAGTGAACAGTGAACACTGAACACTGAACAGAGTATAAAAACTCAAACTCATTCCTCAATGCCGTATATAAAAATGCATTATTATCCTCTCCCGCGCTTTTTTATTTTTTACAGCTACAATAATTGCACTGTTCAAAAGGCATAACAACAAGCATCAGTCTGTTTCATTTCAATCTTATTTACGGCGGGAATATTTCATACAATACAGCAATTGTATGAACGAACATAACTTTGATGCAAATATGTATATGTATATTCTGTAACACATGTATGTACATACATATATAGATTTTTTAATAAACATTTTTTTTTGTTTTTTTTTTATTATTATTTTGATTGGGAGTCAGTTGAAAAATCTCGACACGCGCAATGATACAAATCCCTTCATAATCAACATTAACATCAACGTCATCAGCAGCAGTCGCAGCAGTCGCAGCAGCAGCTACCTACCATGGACACCATTTTTTAATTTTAGTGTATAACTTTACTACATTGACAAAACAACACATACAACAACTACAAACGATTGCAACCACGGTGATATTACATTGTTGAGTGGGGTTACTGACTTTTTGGTGTGCATTTGCTTTCTTACTCTTTACACGTTTCTACTCCCTCCTATACACTATACATTTAGCGGTTTTAAAGTTTCTTTGATTTTAAATGTTTTTTAGACATACCATACTAATCATTTATTTTAATATTTACACCATAGCTGCATATATACAACAACTGATATTTTTTCTTATCAGTGATATTTCCACCCAAGTTTTATCAGTGACAGGATTTTAAGAATTTTTTCCCATATAATATTTATCGTTCTAAATAATTTCACTACAATATATTATATTTCAGGATAGAAATTCAACAACAAAATACTTTAAAAACTTTTTTTAGTATAAATTTAAATAAATTTTCACAAATTTATTTATGTATGTTGCACAAACATTCTAAAGCATTTCTAACATTTCTCCTGCATTACTATATTATAAAACTTTAATATTTATCTGTCAGCTTTAAAATAAAAATGTTTCCTTTCTGGGTTTAATCCGGCTTTCAAACCAATTCTCTTTTTAGCCTGATCACTCTGTTTAAGTTCTGAAATAAAGTTTTTATAAAAAATTTCTTTCGGCTAGTTAAGAACATGTCTGTATACTGTATATATCATCTACTTTGTCGACATAGGTATATAAAAAATGTTTGGCTATGTTGACAGAGAATATACAATCGTATTTACATAGTTTAAATCAGGACTTCGAACCGTACATTTTTTATCGTTGCCATAACATTGTGGACAGTACACAGTACCTCTCCTGGACTAGGCAAATTACGGCAAACAATATTCTGAATTGCAGTTAAATAACGCTAAATATTCCTATAAAACTATTTGATTGCTAAAAATCTTAACCAACCAACTATTTGAATGGTATGAGTATGGTCATACACAAGCTTCCTTTAATAGGCTCAAAGACAACTATCTCATAAAATTTTTTTCAATTACTTGCAGTATAGTCACTTCAACAAAAAAATTCACTATCACTCCTGCTTTTACTGATGGTGATATGATTTACCATCATACGTTTTTATACGTAAATTTGTATTTATTTATACACATTTTGCTTATAATTTCGAAAGCAGGCTGCAGTTGTAGTCTACCCTAAACCCGACAAGGACCCAAAGTTTTCACAGAACTGGCGCTCCATCTGCTTGCCGTCAACTTTGGGTAAGTTGGCAGAAAAAGTAATTCTAGACAGACTTAGAACTTAGGTGAAATCGCTAAATATTCTCCCCGACGAGTGATTTCAGAGGTCCTTTCGTGTAAGAATGAACGGTACCCTCTCTTCTGTCTGAAGAATAGAAGCCGGTGTTCCTCAAGGGTCGCCGCTCTCCCCTTTGTTGTACAACATCTTCACGTCTGACATCCCAATGCTAAGTCCCTCGGTGCTAGCATTATACGCAGATGACACGTGCATGTTATATACCGTTAAACATGGCAGAAATATAACTAACACGTTGTAAGAGCATGTTAATCTCATCCTGAAATCCTTTTAGACATGGACAATAAAATTAACAACGGGAAAACTAAGTCCCTGTTTATAACTTGTAAACACAGGCAGCATTTACCACGAGTGAGAGTTAGTGACATTGCGATCAATTTGAAGGACAGCATCAAATACCTGAGAATCGCGTTTGATAAGCGGTTCGCTTGGCACAAGCTATACAAGACAAAAGAAGTAGTTGTACTAAAACATTTACGGCTACTGATTAAACACAATAACCTTAGCACTAAGATCAGAAAGTTGATCTACATCCAAATAATCAGATCGGCATTTCTCTACAGGTGAGTCACGTATAGCAAAGCTGCCAGCTCTACTATCCAGAAGCTACAAGTTGCTCAAAGTCAGGCTCAACGAAGACTCTTTGAAGTGCTATGTTACATCCGCATGAATGACATGCTAAGAGGTCTCAGAATAAATCCGGTCAAAAAATACATAAGATACATAAATACATACATAGTACTATCTAATCTCCCAGCTAAGAAAAAGTAAAAGTGCCCAGTTGCACTAACACGAAAAAATCTCAACATGGACAAAAGTGAATAAAATATATATACTGTAATAAATTTAGAACCTAAGGGCATGTTGTGCAGAGTGTCTCAGTCACGGTTTGAGTACAATTGTTGTTGTTTTTAAGGCAAATTTTAAATTTGAGAATGAGAGAAAAAACAATATGGCCGTTCAAACTCCGGCATGAAAGCCAGCGTATTTATGCCCCGGTAATAAGGCAAAAATGGCAGTAAGCAAATCGCTAATAATATAATTATTACACTTTCCGATTTTAAAAAAAAGCCTAAGTACTGTTAACAACTATTTAATAGTTACTATTATAAGGTTATTACTATTATATCGTAATAAATTAACATTATTACAGCCTCTATGAGTTTTTTCTTGCTAGTTATTTTTGGTGACAAATTGAAAGTGAGAATATCTTAATTTCCTTTTAAATTTAGGCACTACCAAGAAGTAGTAAATATACAAAATTGGCAATACTGATGTAACACTCTGCATAACATGCATTTGCGGCATAGCCCGAAAGAGCGAATTTTGCCGTGCCAGAGACAATCATTTAGGGGCATAACATGACCCTAAATGAGCTTATAAATAGTTTTCTAAGTATGACAGTTAGTTGGATGTATTGGTGATTGCTAAAATGTAGAGCAATAAAAATGGTTATATACAACAAGAGTCGACTATTTAATTGTTTATCGCGATCCAGCGATTGCGAACGACTAAGCTGAATTCGAAATTTACGCAACAATACTTTAAGATAATCATTTACGGCCCTATACTTCTCCTAAAAGTTAAAAGAATTGTTATATGTATATCACACACACACACATTTGATTATGCACTTTGTTGAGAAACGTTTTTTAGAATAGCTAGGATATTTTTTGACTATATGCGTTTACAGTAGTACACTAGCAATAGTAACTTTAGTAACTTTTCTTCTTCGTTTTTGGTTATGTAGGTCTCGTTCTACTACGTCGTTAACTACTTTAGTTTTGTAAAAAAACTTCGAGAATAAAGTTTGAGACATCATTGAGTAAAACTGTATGGGGGAATCTAAAAAAATATTTAGTTATTTATTAATATTACAAAAATACAGGATAGACCAAATGACAATCAATATAATCAGTCAAAAACTGCACAAAAAAATTTCTTGATTATAAATTTAGTTTAAATAACATCAAATAATATATATGCATATACAGAAAACTGATGCTAAATATAGTATATGTAATATGTTTAAATCGTAAAACTTTTTAATGTACATATACATGTCTTAAAATTTTAAAACTGAAAAATACCTCGACTGTAATAAAGTCGCAAATTTGTCATAGTTGCAGGACAAGAGTACTCCTCAACTGTAAAAGTTACAACTATTGTGAACGTATACTGAAATAATTATAGAGTTCACACAGAACACATTTAAGATAGCTTCAAGCAGTATCTGTTATACTACAATAAAAATAATTTATTTTATTCCACTTCTACATATAAAAATACAATACATAATAGATTTGTCTTTAGTTAAATATATCAAATATATCAAACTATTTCCTAAAAACAAATTCATATGTTTATAAAAAATTTTTTTACAGATGGTATTAGAATTTATATTGTAAAAAACATCGACTAAATTGCGGTTTCCTAAGAAACCGCTGCTGCTGGAGCTTCAAATGCATGGAGCAACGTATTTAATGTTGCTGCAAGAATTATGGTTAAAGCTACAGCAGCATCAACGACGGCAACAATTAACGTAACGAGTCAAAATTCCAAAATAGAATTTGAAAAACCGCACCAGCAATTTCAGCATCAACATCAGCAACATATACAACTAATAACGAATACAATAAACGGTGTTGCTGTTGTATCGCCTTCCAAAATGGTTATACCATCTACGGCAACAACAGCAACAGCATCACCATCGTCTACAACTATTTCAACATCAAATGAAACAACCATATCAACTGTTTCAGCTGTTATTGCTGCTGGTCAGCATTCACAACAGCAACAGCAACAACATCAACAAAGCCATGCTCTCTTTCAAACGCAACAACCACAAACTGCGCCGCGGCAACATCCAAAAAAACGAAAATTTGATCCAGCTGAGCTTGATCAAGTTGATATTCTTCAAAAGCACACTCAGCAGCCTCAACAGCCTCAACTGTCTCAACAGTCTCAACAGTCTCAACAGCAACATGAGTCGTCAATATCCAATAATGATGTTAATATGTTGTCTACAAAAAATACCGCTTTACCATTAACATATAAAAATGGTACAACAAATGCTACCAATATAATTGTTTCCAGTACAGGCGGTACCACAACTGGTGGTATCGGAAATCGGCAATGGACTCAACAACATTTAATCACACCTTCACCAACTGCTAGCCTAGCTTCAAGTAATGATACAATGTATGCCATTCGAACCGTGCCGTCAATGATTGTAAGTCCTGTTTCAGTATCTTCTACTGGTACTAACAATACGACAGTGGTCTCAGCAGGTAGATGTGCTACATCTATAGAAAGTCCTGAGAAACGTATTATCATAGCGAGGTTTGTTAATCAATTTTGTACACATAATTTTATCCAATACGTTTTATTGTTTATTTTTAAACAGCACACATCCCTCAAGTACTTATAAGATGCAAAATATTGGCATCAACAACACTAACAGAACAGTGACACCTATTAGTCATATTTCAAATAATGCCATAGTTCCACCACAACGTTTAGCATACAACCATCATCACCTCCAACCACAGCAATCTATTAGTATGATCCAAAATCACCAGTCGCAACAATCTCAATGCGATGAAACAGCTTTAGACCTTAGCGAATGGACCAATACACGAGTATTAGCAAAATTAGGCAGTTACTATGCCTCTGGCGAAATACGTCAACCTGCATCTGATGCAACAACTCCAACAAATTCAGTTTTGGTTGAATTTGATGCGCCTGAAAATTGTACGCAACTTTACACAGAGGTGTTAACAAATGGTCGATTTAATGTGATATCGGACGCTAGTCCACCAGCTGCAGATGTAAGTAAATAATGAAATTATCAAGATGTCTATAACATTCTCTAATGTATAATTTCAATATATTTTCTTATTTTTTGATGTTTTATTTTTTTAGATTGTGTTAGACACACGAGTCTGTGTACGCACTCAAATGGAAGGTCGATCTGGTTTTGTGTTTGTGGAAGGTTCCGTAACGGATATAAATATGAATACAAAACAAATTACAGTACAAATTGGCAGTACAGATACAACGCAAATTGTAAGCAAATTAAAACTGCATTAAAATATGCATTTTAATAAAACTACAAATAATCATTTAAAACTGTGTTTAATTTTAGTTAAAAACTGTTAAACGTGCAGATTTACGTTTATTGAGACCACCTTGGTGGGATGAACTTATCGATGTGTCACTACAAACACACATAGTTCCACCATCAACACAAGCAACAATTAAACCACAAACTATTCAGGCAACACATACACAACCGCAAAGAATTATCGCAAAAACATCTGCTTCGACTGGTAGTCATATATTAGTAAGTGGAGACGCTAATATTATTTATGCACCTACAAATAAAGGTCCACATCAACTAACATATGTGACTGCAAGATATGATGGAAAAATTCCTGGCCACCAAACGCCTACAAATGCTAATACACATATTCAGCATGTTGTGCCGTCATTAGCGGCACAAAAACAAGAAGATTATTATCGTACAACAGCTACTTCGCCGTTTCAAAATTCAAATAATAACACGCTACAAGCATTGGTTGTTAATGCCAGTTCTTCAACGAGTTCAACGAATATTGAAAACTGTTCTGGCAATGGAAATGGTAATGGAAATGGAAATAGTACGAATGTACCAGAAATAATTATATCTCAACAACAAATTATGCATGCAGGTTCAGCACAATCAATTAGCAATAGTCACAATACCAATTGCCTGCCATCACAAATACACAAGATCTCGCATTCACCATCAGATGATATGCATCGAAGACAAAGATCATACGATGATTATGAATCGGATGATGAATTAAAACGTGTTGATATTGGCAGTTATGCTATAAACGATGCTGATCCTGAAAAATTATCGGGAGGCAGTAAACGTAGTAGCATGCAAAGTCGTGGCAGTACATCCAGTTTAATCGATCAGAGGCTCACTCCAAGATCTCATCCAGCAACTCCAAGGTATTAATATGGATTGAAATTTGTGTAATCAGTTTTAAGTAAAAAGCTAAGGGCCATGTTATGCAGAGTGTCTCGGGCACGGCATGAGTACAATTGTTGTTGTTTTCAATGCAAATTTTAAATTAGAGAATGAGAGAAAAAACAATATGGCCGTTCAAACTCCGGCATGAAAGCCGGCGTATTTGTGCCCCGGCACTAAGGCAAAACAGTGTTGTTTAGTAATAAATTTCAAAATTTGCGCCTTTTAGGAGCAAACTACTACAATTCTAGTACGTTTTAGAGATAAAATGGCAGTAAGCAACATTGTATTTTTTTTATAAATCGCTAATAATATAATTTTACACTTTCCGATTTTAAAAAAATGCGTAAATACTGTTAACATAACACTCTGCATAACATGTCCCTAACAATAGTATTATATTGTATATATTATTATAGTAACAATAGTATAGTTAACAAATCATCATCATTTGTGATTTTTAATTTATAAGTATTTATGTTTAATTGACTGTATGTTATTAAATTACTATTATTAAAGATTGAAAGTGTTAGTGTCAAATAACTTAAGTCTACATAGTATTGATTATAGATGTTTTACCTTTGTTTGTTTACAAATAGATACAAGTTAAAATGAATTCGAAATTACTTTTATATAATAATCATTGTAAATTTTTTTACTTAGAAATTTTTCTATAAAATATATATGTATATTCTATAAATATCGGATACTAATGATTTAATATTATTGATTTAACCAGATCTCAAGCGACTACACCACATCGCTTTAAAAAGGGCGATATCGTACAGTCTGAATCCGGTGTTCGCAAAAAATTTAATGGTAAGCAATGGCGTCGGCTATGTTCGTTGTGTTCAAAAGAGTCTCAACGACGTGGCTTTTGCTCACGCCATTTAAATCAAAAGGGAAATACTGCATTACGTTCTACTGGACCAAGTCGTTTCCCAAGGTAACTGCGTTTATATTTATATAATTTTATCGAATGTTTGATGCTATATTGCTAACATTTCTTATAATTAAATTTTAACCTAATTTAAATTAATTTTTACTTGGTTTATTAAATTAATCAATAAATTTAATTTCTCGTTTTTTTAGTGATATAAGTAGTCGCTCTAGTAGCAAAACCCAAGTTGACGAAGATACCTCACGTGATTCGGAAACGTCACCCAACTATCGTGTCACAGATCGTTTTGATCAGGAGGAAAGAGATGTAGCTAATATGTTAGGTATGACTACATATGATTATTTAAAAAAAATTAATAATAATATATTATAATAAGTTTAATTTAGTATCTAATTTTAAGCGCAATAGAACACAAGAAATAATCTATTAATATTGGTTAAATTTATTCTTAAAACTATATTTCAAAAATAATAACAAATCGAAGATATGTATATTACTATACAAAAATTATTATGTCCATAAAACCTTGAAATTTCATGTAATTTTCAGACAAAAATTATATCCATAAAAATACCTGCTTTGCAAATTATATGGATTAACTTTAAAAATGTAACTAACTCATTCTTTATTCATACATAAAATCACAAAGAAAATGTATACATACATACATACATACATACTAAGAACAAAAATACTCTAATGATAAAATCAAAAACTAAGAAAATTATTACTCATGTTTTCATTAAGAAATAATTTATATTGCTTACTGTTTACTGCTCACTCAACTGAGTGTTTTCATTGAAACGCACTTTTTACCTGCTTTACATTCTGCCTCTGCTATAGTAGTATAGTAGTTTCTTCACACGTGATAAACGCAACGCATTGAATTACCTGCAGAATGGAAAGGAAATATTAATGCTTACCGATTTGTAATCCAAACCAAGTGCAGCAAAATTTAGTTTAAAGAATGAAAACGAAAAGAAAAAGACGATGACAGCAATCCGTAATTGTCAAACTGTACAATTGCATAAATAGAAAAGCACATACTTGAAAAGATTGGCTTGACTTGACTATAGAGTTCGACAGAGTCTGTAAAATAAATAATATATGTTATAAACTATTTCTATAAAATTGACTTAATTTATTAATATAAAAACATAAAAACATAAACAAAATAAAAATTCAAACATTTGAACATTTTGAAATGAATGTGTTTCAAGACTACGACCTTGGCGCGAAATTATACGTACAATGTTTATGTAAACTAAACAAAATTATAATTAAAGAAATGACTTACTCTATAAAATATATTTTTCAGTGTCGCTGAGCAGTTCGCGGTCGGCTACACCATCGTACTCCTCACCCGTTAATCATGGCACATCTCCTATGAACGTGAATCATTCTCCAGTACCTGTATCAAATCGACAAAACTTTTTTACACCGATTGGTGGTGGACCAGTCGCTACTGCAGACCCACATACAACAAAATGGAAAAATACACCTAGTCCAGTATTATATAATGTGGGGTTTCCACAAGTAATACGTCCAGAGTCAGTTCGTGCTCAGGGCGCAGGTGCAACACAAACGGCCACTATTGTCTCCTCAATTCCGCCGCCACAAACAGCACCAGTATCAATGGTAGTACATAATCAACATGTTCCTCCTCCTCCTACGCAGATGATACAACCACCACCAGCGCCCCCACCAACTCATCATATCATGACACATCATCATCCACACCAACAAACTTCGCCGGGTCCACCATTACCACCTCCTAGTGTAGTAATGCCTTCAGCAACAAATTCAGTTGGCCATGCAACAAGTGTAATACGTATTTCACCTGCAGCTGCTACAACAATGAACAACATCAACTCATCAACAACTACTGCTGTTACTGCAACTAGTACACAATCTTTTCATCCTGTTATAGTGGATGCTACACAATTGGTACCATTGTTGCCACAACAGCAAGCCTTGCATTTACAACACCAACAACAATCGAATATTCAAGTAGCGCATACACAAGCCTCTTTAACTACTAATACAGGAAACCAAATTTCTACACCTACTTCAGTTGGCATAATACCAGCTGCTCATCAACAAACGCAACATCAACCGCCACCAATGCCAGAAAAACCAATTTCAAAAAACGGTAAGTACTACTAAAGTATCACTCATATTTTTGTATGTATTTATATCAGTTTTATTATTAACTATTTTTATGTTGCTCTGCTCTAATTTTAGGATTTAATCCGGGGTCGATATACCATTGGCACACGTTACTGCCCCATATAAACCAATCACCCGTTAAAACACAGCCATTAACAAACTTCTCAATTGCTGGCATCGTACCACCAACTGTAGATACGCCAACAATTAACAATACATGCAGTCATAATATTAATAACCATCAAAATAAATTAAATTCGCTGGAATCTCCCCCAAACCCTGTAAATTGTGCCACAAATGAAACAAGTAGAAACAATATTGCAGAAACTATATCGATCACTATACAAGAGGAAACAGACGAACAATTAGACGATGATGTATTCGAGCCCTCAATAAATAATACTCCTGCTGGAAGTATTATACCAGCTGCTACAGTCGCTCAAGTGAAGCAAAATCACAAACGTTCAACTAATGAAACCTATCGCATGACCAACTTTAGCACATCATCATCATCTAATGAAAATAGTCGAAAAATTGATGAACGTATAGAACGTATAGATGTAGAACCAACAAATTCTATGGGAAGTACAACTGCAACAGCAACTGCAACTGCAGCAGCTCAGGCTGCTGCTAAACGACGTTCGCAATCGCTGAGTTCTGCTGGTGGTATGGGTGCAACTGGGAAAGAACCAATGAGTCCGATTACAAAGGTACATTTGATTTTTTTTAATGTTCTATAAAATATATATAATCTTTGTTTTTGTTTATCTTTAAAAACTTAGAACAAGATACGTAGACCTATGAACGCTTTTATGATTTTTTCTAAAAAACATCGAACATTAGTACATGCTAAACATCCAAATCAGGATAATCGTACTGTTAGCAAAATATTAGGAGAATGGTGGTATGCACTTAAGCCTGAAGAAAAAGCTAAATATCATGAATTAGCTAGTTCTGTCAAAGACGCTCATTTCAAATTGCATCCAGACTGGAAATGGTGCTCAAAAGACAGGCGCAAATCATCTAGTTCAGGAAAAAATACGATGTGTGAAATAAATGGTAAACAACGTAATGACTCAAGTGATGGAATGGACATCACTGAACAAGATCAAAATGCAAATATAATGAATAATATTGATGGTCCCTCAATAGATACACAAACTGATATCATACCGTTAACTATCGCAAATTATATTTCTACGATTGATGAAAGCTCAACACCAACAGTATGCAACGCGAATGCAAATGATGTTGTTAAAATTAAATTGGAACCCGAAAAAGATGACTCACAAACTGAGAATGAAATGGTAGCTATTTACTGCATAGGAAAATTCAAACCATTTTCATAACTATATTATTTATTTTTGTTTTTTTTTTATTTTATTTTAAAGTCTGTTCCTATTGAAGAAAATAAAAATAATAATAATAGTAGCAATAACAACACAAGTCAGCACGATGATGGCAAACAAATAGATTTAAAATGTCAAGAACGCGTTGCTGATTCCGATATTGAGGATGCGGCCTTTGATTATAGGAAACCAACTCTAGCCAGTAGTGATTGTGTACAAAAAGATGATCAAAATAAGTCTGAGAAGGTAAAAAAAGAAATATTATTCTTATATATGTGTACAAATAAACAATTTCTTAAAATTTTTGCTTACACAGAATGGAAATGATTTTTTTGATAATGCTGTCCAAACAGTCATTTCTAGTAGTGATCATATCAATACAACAATGACATCAAGTAATACTACTACGAGTAGTAGTACTGTTAACGCAGTTAATAGTGGTAATGAGCGCGATATAACGTTAAAGCCAAAGCCAATTAAAGCAAATCGGCATACTATTGAGAACAGCATCCTTAGCTATCAACAAATACCGATGTATTCTTTCAACAGCCCCAAGAATCCAATTGGTGTTACACCGTTTCAACCCACAGGCGAGCACCATGCAAAAGTCGAAATTTGTAATTTAAGAGAAATTAGAAATCAGAATTTGAATTTCGATTTTTATTTTTAATATGAATTATTTGTATTAAACACATTTTTTAATTATATCTATATATTCATATCATAGGTGGTGCTTTTAAAACAATGCCAATAAGTCCAAAAAGTACAAAAGTAGATGAAACACAACCAGCACATATTAAGCATGAAGATGCAACAAACAATATTAAACAGGAACCCCCGTCGCCTTATCAACTGAACGGTAATTGTAGCAACATTTTTACTTTTAATGTGCCAACAGCAACAGTTCCAAGTCAAAAACAATCACATCATCAATTTCATCCTTATTCTCTGAGAAGTCCCACAGATTGTAGAGGTTAGTATTTATAACTAATTTATATAAATTTAAACTGATTTATTTTAAGTTGCGTGTATTGTATCAAGCACAATAAAATAAATACCATATATAATTCGGATAAATTCAATATATTCATCAACCGTCTATGGTTGGTTAATAATTTTAGCAATTCTTATTAGTTTTACTTTTTTAAACTTTATAAAACTTAAGTGCTTATAACTAGTAAAATAAACCCTGAAACACAGACTTTAATCATTTATATTTTTCTTACTTTAAACTATATATGCTTTTTATTATTTTATATAAAATTGTACAATCATTTAAACTAATATATGCTCATTACCATTTTATCATTGCATTATTGTAATTCTTAATAATTTTGGGTTCAACATAAAGCTCATAAATCATAAACTTTTCTTTCTCTCTATAATGCTAACGTATATCTTCGATATGATCATCTATTAAATCATTACTCATAATTATCTACTAATTACTTAAACAAAAATTAAAAATAAATAAAAGATGCAATAAATGAGCAAGTATATGTTAAATCAGACGTAGAAAATAACTGTTATGATAAAGCCGCTGAAAACGATGATGAATTGTATGAAGATTATGACACAGAGACCGACTATGATGACATTAAATTTCACAACAAACGTATAACTGAGACAAAATCATGTATTACGAATTTAGTTATGAAAACTTTAACACCAAATTGTACAAAAGATAATACAATACAATCCGACCAATCGACTGGTGTAAAACGCAAGCAATTTACTATCGTACGTTCTTTGACGCCACAACACATTTCTTCACATAAACAATTGAAACATTTACATATACGGCGTGTTGAAACACCACCAACTGTAATAACGCGAGTTCCCACTCCATTTGCACCAGATAAAATCATATCAGACCACTCTCAACAACACAAATCAACAAATCACATAACAATCATTAGAACATTATCAACCCCTCCTCCATTATTTTTTAATAAAATAAAAAAACAATCATCAACCACATCAGCATGTGAATCAGCATTATCCCCTTCATCATTATCATCATTATCATCATTATCGTCATCATTGCAATCAACAACACTTCAAAAAACTTTGAAAAAAGATGAAAAAGTTATTAAATTTCAATCCTACTCCTCTGTAACTGCTACCGGTACAAATACAACCAACACAACGCCAATTGTACAAAAATTGTTGACAATAAAAAATGATGACATAAATCATAAAGATGACACAAATAAAGCTACCGGAAGGGCTGCTATATTATATGACGCTTTAGTATTGGATACGTTACATGGCACCAACATTGATGATGAGAGCAATGACAACGAACATAAAAAAGACCACCCAAAGAAACAACATATATTAACTATAGATCAGCATCAGTTTCAACAGCAACAAGCGCAACAAACACAACAACCACAGACACAGACAATGCTATTAATAACTGACGGCAATAGTTACAATCAACATCAACAGCAAAGTATAGCACAACAATTGCTACATAACAAAATAAGAAAATTTAATATAAATCCAACAGAAAAAAATTTGATATCCTCAACATCAACAAATGCTGCCCAAGCTTATTGTGTTGTCTCTAACAGCAACAATCATTATAACAACAATGTAAATGTGAAGTGTACCACATCATCCGCATCATCGACAAATACATTGCGTCCTTTGTCATTTATCAGTGTTAATTCATGTAATAAAATTACATTGGCAGGAAATGCTCGCATCCTCGCTGCCAATGCAGTTACCCCTAATAATACCAATTCAAGCACAGGTGCTGGATTAGGAGTAGGCGCAAATACAGTAACGGTTTTGAACGCTGTAACTCAATCAGCTGCTGTTGCTGTTGCTGCTACTGCTACTACTACTACTACTACTACTAACAATCTAAAAAATATTAATCATAAGATTAATAATAACAACAACCTAACCATAAACACTAATTCAAATGAAAATAATACTAAAAGTAATATAGTAACTAATACTAATTGTATGAAAAAAGATTTAACGATAACAACTCAAAATGCCACTGTTGCTGGCTCTTCGATTTTATTAATTAATTCAAATGTTGCCACTGTTGTTAATTCCTCATCAGGTACTACATCAGATGGTCCAGCAGTACCATCATCTTCTGCTGCACCGGCTACAACGGGATTAAGCTCATCTATAAGCAACACTGCTCTCAGTGCAAACAATTGTGTACCAACTACACCCACATCGGCTTCTTCGACAGCACAGATATTAACTACTTCAGGCAGTATTAACAACAATAATGGACAAAAGCAAATACTTTTTGCTGTTAATAATATGGTACACCACCAGGTATGAATTAAATGGATACCTTGCACATTATATGCATATTTTTATTAATTACTTGATTTTAATTGAATTAAATATATATATATATACATATATATATGTATATATATTAGTATATGTGTGTATAATAATAGTAATTCACATGTTAACAATAATATATCAAAATATATATATATATATTTTTTAGTACACAATTTTACCAATGCACCAACAACAAACAGCCCAAGCACACGCAGAATCCGCTAGTCCTATCAAACCTACAGCTATTAAGTATTTATTGAAAAAAAGTAATGTCCAAACTGATGTTAATAGTACTGGTATAAATAGTGGTATACTACAACAGCCGATACAGAATTCTATTATTTTACACAATTATTCACAAGGTTTGTTAATGTCACTTATGTTACATAGACTTACATAGAAATTTGTTGATATTTTTTGCTCAATGTTTCTTTTTTATTAGAATCAACACCCCTATCTCCAATATATAAATCTCTCCCATCAACACCAAAGTCAGCCTCTTACCAATTAAATGTACCAGATTCAGCAGGTAAACGTAGTTCTGATGGTAATTCATCAACTTATGGTGGTGACGATGAACATGAAATCGGAGAAGGTCAACAATTTATATTAGCACCCACCCCGGCACAATTAGGTTGTGCACCATTACAACGCAGAAAGAATATGTGTAAGTACTTGGCTGTCAATAAATAGTTCAAAAGTACTAATAAATCTTAAATTGTAGCCGGTAGCAGTATAGGTTCGTTAAAAAATGAGTCTAGTTCAAATTCGTTTGCTACAAATACAATTATTGGAAATTCAAATAAGAAATTAAATTCTCCCATCATTGATTCTTCTTCCCCAATAATTGGCAATGTAAACACAACAGCTTGCCTAACAACAGGTTTGCCAACGCCTACATCTTCAACAGCGACTCCAAGCAGTGATGAACAAATGCCACTAACTCCAACAGCTGTGATTAATACAAATCCCAAATCACCTACTAAGACTGTGACAGTCAAAAAGAAAAACGATGATATGGAAAAGTAATTTCGAAATAATATATATTTGGCCTATGAAATAAAATAATTATAATAATTTTTTTTTAAAGTAGTGTCCTAAAACAGGTAGACTTCGAAAAGAAATATCAAGCTTTGCCGCAGTTTAAACCTGAAGATTGTCAATCACCAAGCGCTATTATAGTACCCTCTTCACCTCGCGTATACGGTACCAATTACCGAAAAAAAAATATGGTTCCGCCTGTACAAAAATTACGTGAGTATTATTTTGAAATACAATATATAACAAATTTAATATCAATATTGTTTTGTTATTATTTTTTATCAACAGATAGCGAAGATGAGTCAACCGATGAAACAACAGTTTCAATACCTACACCCACACAACGTTTCTTCGGTCCCGATTTTAATATTGATCAACTAAGAGGTATTCATTCAAAGTTCATTTGAAATTGAATAAATTTCAATCTTATAAATATTGTGTCTTTCTATTAAAGAGCTAGAAAATTCTGATCAAACTGGACGTTCTCCACGTACACCTCAAACACCTCTGCAAAGTGCTCGCTCTGATGCTAGTGAAAAGGGTCATCGTAAGGTACTTGAACAACGTCGTAAATTAGTTTTGCAATTATTTGATGAACATGGAATGTTTCCTACAGCTCAAGCCACTATTGCTTTTCAAGTTAGTTATTATAAAGAAATATATAAGTAAATAGAAACATTTAATTAATATATAATAAAATACATATTTTTAGACAAAGCACATTGATGTTTTCCCACGAAAACAAGATTTGCAACTTAAAATTCGTGAGGTCCGTCAAAAACATATGGGGCAATCTGGCTTTACACCCCATTCAGCTGGTCCTGTTACACCATCTGAAGGAAATACAGCAAATGTTTCTAGCGGATATTCTAGTGCAAGCGGAGGAAGTAATGCAGGTAAATTTTATATAAACGAGTTTTTACATTAAAAAACAAAAAAAAAAACATATTTTAGTGTGTAAAAAGTGTTCCACATCTTTTTTAATGTTTTTGATTTTTTTAACATTTTTTTATTTACATATCTATATATATGTGTATATGTATGTATATGTATATATAATGGTCAACCTCTGAAGGGATCATGTTAATATAACATAATTATATTAATTATATAGTGTAATTAATGTAGTTTCTAAATATAGGTTTTTAACTAGTTGATTATTTTGTAATAGGATACACTAATTATTCAAATCTTAAATCTCTTACTATTGTCTTAAGGTTAATTATTAAATATATTATTATTAAATTTTATTTATTATTAGAAATTATTTTTATCATTTTATTAGTAAATAACTGCTAATAATATTTTTTGTGTATTCTAAAATAAAATTAAAAATAATTATTTTTAGTTAGTTTTGATTTTTTTTTCTTAGTATTTAAGTATTTGTGTTGCTAAAATACGGCATTGCTCTGTAAGTTTTTTACTTTTGCTATTAATCTAAAGGAAGGTTTTTAAATCATTGTTAATTATATCTTTGGTAAAGTTTGACGCAGAATCATCCAAACTGTTTAGATGAACGATTTTTAAGGTATTGCAAATTTTTAAGTTGATGGTTTAAGTTTGTTAGAGAGAAACGATCTTTCACGATCTTTGTTATTTGTTGTTTTCATCTTCCGCATGCATAGAACAAATGTTTAGTAATTAGTGTTTGCAATACTCTAATGCAAACAAAAAAAAACATAAAATTACAATAAAAAATTTTATTGTTTATTTATTTTAATATATACATATGTGAGATTAGTTGAGCTGTACTTATGTTTGTGTCCTTCTATAACACATTTTTTTGTTATTAGAATGTGTCTGTGCAATCATGAACATGAATTATGATCCCCGGCAGAATGTTCAATCATGAACATGAATTATTACGTTATGACCTTCGGCAAAATGTTCAATCATGATCATGAATTTATATATTTAATTATTATAGTTTATTATTATAAGTCCATTATCACCTAAATTCTTAGAAATAGTAACATTTTTGAGCATCCGTATCTAAATTATTAAAATAAAATATATTCATAAAAACAATAGGAGGAAAATCCCTAGTGTTGGGACTTCCGTCCTTTTTTAACTTTTTTTTTACAAATAATAACAAAATGTAATACACTCCATTAAAATCATATTATTTTAACTTTAATGTAAAAATTAGTCTTAAGATAATTTTGTATAAAAACACAACATTATTTTTAAATAAAATGAGTAATTACAAAATACTCAATCAGTGTACATCAATAATATAACAGTACAGTGTCTCTCAAACTGCTTCGCATCTCGATACAAACTGAAGTCTTACTCTAATATTCTTAAGTTTTGCCGTGTTTATAGTATTGTTACGAATTTGCCTTTTGCAATTCAATCCTGATAATCTCGTTCATCTCACTGGATTGTCAATAACTCTACAAATGCCAAAAATAACTGAAAGTCAAACTCGAACTCGAATCTTCAAACTCAAACTACTCCACTCACAAACTTAATTACTTTTTCTGAAAGAAATATCTGACATTAGTCCGTATAGGATATTGTTCTCATCAGCTATTATGCCGTACAGAACTAGAGACCATTCAAATAAAAAAACTAATGTGTTCTTAAGTCTTAGAATTAAGTCTGATTTATTAAACAAAATATTCCGGTATTTATACCGTTTAAAACTTATGAACTAACAATGATTCAAATTTCTTATGTACTATAATTATTATTTAATTCCTATGAGTAACCAATCAATACATTGGTTATTCCCAATTATTGATAAAGTATATAATTTTTATATGTAAGATATATTCATAATATCTATCTTACTATTCTAACATATTCTATACATTTCATATACATTTTGCTTATGCATATTATGATAAGCATTATTCATAAAGTTTTACATTTCTTTAAAGGAATTTGTGTTACTACCGTACAATGACCACATATGATAAAACGTTTGGCTCGCGCATCATGTTACGAGTGCACAATCATAACGGCGTGAGTCAAACAAAATTTAAAAGTGTAATATGATCAAAGTCAAAACGACAAAGCGACAAATGTGCATTCAATAAATTATGTCACAATTGTTTTGTTACTTTATGCAATGACTTGCCATATTAAACAATGATATAGGTCATGGGCACCACAACATATATATGGAAGTTTTCTTCATAACGTATGTTATGCATAACGCTTTTGTTAAAAAAACATATTTCAAAAGGAAAGCAGACAGTGAAAACCCAAGAGTTTCCGATTTCACGGAAACTTTATAGCAATGTAAGAAAGATTGATTTTAAACTTAAAAATTTTTAAACAAACACTACCAACAACCCCTTATTTGTATAATCAATGTAAAGATTACATAATGTTTAACGGTAGATGTCGTATGTAGGTATCAGTAATTTCTATTATTGTAATCAATTTTAAAAGGGTACATCTTTATATCGAGAAGTAAATAATATCGGCATATAGAGTAATGGACTTGCCCAAAATAATAGGGAAGAAAGATACCCGTTCCTTGAATTAAGAAGGGGTGTGAGATAAGGAAAGAGAAAAAAGGAAGTTCGTTTGGAAATAAGAGACGAAGGAGAGCGTGGCTGAGTTTATACTAGTTTCGATTGAAGTAAAGTTACCTTTGCACTTCCTTGGGAAGAAACCATAAATCAACCGTGCAATCAGTCGACAGTTGGTAAACAAATCGAATGTAAGATATTTTATTTTTAAAAATTTTACAGATTTCGTTTGTAGGTCGATTTTGTTATAGATGGTTCCATATTTACACCAAAATAAATTTGATGTGGAATTAAGTTACTTTTAGCTCCATTTAACGTTAAAGAGTTATTTGAATAGTTTAAATATAAAACAGAAATATATATATATTGATATGAACTGTAATAATCTAAGTAGTATCGTTTTTAGGTTTTGAATCATAATTAATGTATTATGTTGAAATCAATAATAGTAATTCGTATAAAAAATTATTTAATCATTTTATTATCAATAGACATAACAGTATATATACATAAAACAAGTTTTAATGATTCGATTATTGAATTATGTATTCTTTATTTATTTTGAACTAAATTTTGTATTTTTGATGTAAAACATTGTAAAGATGTTTTTCAATTTTATTTCAATACAGGTGTACAAGGAATAACAGAACAACAACAACAATAAGCAACTCTGTTATCATTATACTAACCGAAAATCAGAAGACAACAATAACATAACACAATCATTTTTTCAACAAACTGGAAAAATCTGAAGATATGCACAATTATATTATGTTCATTACGAAACCCAATATATTTTGAAATATAACCCATGACCCATTAAGAACGAAATAATAAATAATAAATAATATGCATTTAATGCATATATGTATGAAAATTGTTAAATAAAACAGCAATTGTAAAAAATTTTAAAATTATTTTATGAATTTTTAAGGATATTGCACATCTATTACCATAAGAAAATTCACATAAATAAATTTGTAATTTGAAAATATTATTAAGCACTCCACAGTTAAAGCAAAAAGAATGTTGAAGCGATTAAGTTTGATAAAAAAAAAAACAAAACTAAAATTATTGAATAAAAAAAAATTTGTAAATTTTAAAATCTGCAAATTTTTATATATGTCTGAACTTTTCTAATATGCGTATGAAGTTGTAAACTAATAAAATGAATTCTTTAAAACAAACGTAATTTATTAAACCGAAAACAATCTTATACTAATTTAATATAATATAAGATGTTACAAAACTTTTTATTTTATAGAAAAAACAATAGAAAAAATGGAATATATGTATATATATGTAGAAAAGGAAGATATTTTAAATTGAAATCGAAATTGATTGTAATATGTATATTAAATTAACATGTGAACTGAGAATTTCGAACATAAAACTTAAACAAAAGAATCAGATATATTAACGTTGTTATTTATATTGTAAAAATATTAATAAAATGCCATATATTTAATTATTATATACGTTTATGAATGCCCTATATTCTCTAATACCTTTCTGGTATTTTGTGTATCAAAAAAAATTTTTTTTAATTTTTGTAAGAATATATGGAAAAAAATTTGATTTTAATATGTCCTGTATTTCGTTTGAATTTTTTAAAAAAGATTTTATTTTTTTAAATTATTAATATATTTTTATAGAACTTAGAAGGTTTTAATTTGTTTTTTATATCATTTTATAATACTCTATAAACGCATCTGTAAATGTTATTTAGAACTACAACGGTTTCTATCTGTAACCATTCAAATGCAATATATAAACAAATTGTAATAAACAAATAAAATAAATTGTATATTCCCAGAAAGCATATTTATGAATTATTGTCTTCCACCTATGCTGCAATATTAAATATTGTTTAAATATTATCTTAATTTTGTTAAAGAAAAATGAAAACGGAAAATTAAATTATTGAAAAAGTTTATAATTTGTTTTATTTACTTTAAAGCCATTTAAATAATTATTTTATAACTTTTAGCGTGTGTATTATTGTTTCATGTTTTATTTAAAAGTGTGACAAGTCTGGTTGTATGAGTAGTGCCAAATATAGAGATATTCATCTATTGCATTATAGTGCACTAGAATTGCATTGCAATGCAGCGAAAACCACTTGCACTAATTTTCTGTATTTATTTCTGTAATTTATTTTATTAATCATAAACATTATTTAAGACTGTTGTAAATTTTTAATATATTTGATGTAATTAATTATAGTTATTGTTTTTAATGAATTTTTTATTTTTTTAATTAAGTTAGGATGTATCTTAAATCTATTGGAAATGTTTATGCTATCTCGATGAAATCGTATTTAAAATGTTATAAAAAAAAAGTCTCAAATATTTTTAGTGATCATAAATAATCTTAATTTCATTGTAGTTGCATATTGAAAAAAAAAATTACAAATTTTAAACAGTAAATATCTGCCAAACTGCATTTAAGTTGCAGGTATAAAAAGATACTTTATTTATAATTTAAAACGTTCCCATTAAGATTTTAAGTAATTTCTATAAAGTTTAAAATTGTAAAATAATATGCAAATATATATATGCAAGCATTACAGTTTTATAAATCAAAGAATGACAAAAAATGAAAAATGAAAATCATATATATAATCATTATGTAACTAAACAATTATAAATTTCATTTTAATCGCTTTAAATTGTAAATACTTAAACTTATGTATTAGCCTATAAACACAACTAAGTAATAAAAATCACTTGTCTTCTGATATTTTAAATATTCTTACAATTTTAAGTTAATACATTCATTCAATTTATTTTTTTTTATTAAAAGTATTTAATATATGTATAATTTTTTCAATTATATTTTTATAAATATAAAATTTTTATTAATGTGAAATCTGTTTCAGTTTATTGGGATTTATATATAGATTGCAATTTATTAAAGGCTGCAGTGGTTAAAGTTATATATTTAGGGAACTTAAAATTTGATGTAATTTTAAAATTTTTGTGTTACCGAGAGAATTTTATTTTGACTCGTTAAAATTACATCAAATTTAATGCATGCGCACCTGCTAGTATATATTTGTCTCCAACCCATTGCATCGGCAAGGTTCCTTAATATCGACCCAGATTACTTTCAATTACGTTCCAACCAGGCCGTCATCCCTTCATATTCCCAACAAATGCATTTATCTATCAACTTCCAAATGAACTTCAAATAGATAATATAGTATATGTATACGTATACGTATACGTATAAAAGAAATAAAAACTAAGGAATATGAATTCGAGAGAAAATTTTGTGTACAGTTGAGTTGATTGAGGACACAATGAAACTGAATGCGATGTACGTATTATGGCGAAATGAACTATCGAGTATTTGGGTTATGAAGAGCGCACTGCATTTCTTAATGTATTAGTAAAGAAGGTTAGCTTGCCCACAACTTCATTGGTTGAATATATGAAGTTTTGGTTAACTGTGATTAATAATTTTAATATACCGAACTGCAAGGAAAGCATTCCCCAATTTTTGTAAAGAAATCCATCACACTGCTAATGCATACCTTAACTTTAACACTCTTATCAATAATTCAATCAGTAGCATTTCTATTGAGAAGATATTTATACACTTTCAATATACAAACTAATTGAATACATTCGATGTTGTTTTTATCATTAAATTAGAAATATATTACTACTCAATAAGTAGTAATAAGAATGAAAAACATTCAAAAGTATAAAACATTTTGTTATATAATAACAGAAATTAAATATATATTTATTAGAAAATATATACAGAAGAAAACAGAAATTTAAAGGCTAATTAAATTCAGAATAAACTCAGTCAATAAAATTAAGTATCAAATTTATAAAATGAATGTAATAGTAACTGATATCTGTAAATTATGCAAAGAGTAAATCAAAACATTTATAGAATCCACTGTCATCATTACATCATTAGGGTTTTATCTAATCAAAAGCAGTTTTTAATTAAAACTGCTAATAAAAGAGATTGTGAGGATCATCAATGGCAAAACCTTCGTCCACGCTGAATAATATGCGCTTTTTTTCATTACACAATCATAAATACTGTGTTCGAGCTTTTCTAACAAATTCTAACAAATCCTAACAAATTTCCAAGTCTAAAAATCAATCTAAACAAAAAAAAATTCTCTTTAAAGGAATATGCTTCACGAAAGTATCTAAATTTATTAGTCTATATATAGATGTGGCTCTAAAGAGTTTTATACAGTTCACCGATGCAGCCTTTTCTTAATTAAACAAACTAACGGCTATAATTTATAGTATATGAGATATCGAATTGGAGAAATAATATATAAATCAATATATATAACTATACTCTATGCAGTCAAAATACATTTTTCGATGGTTTTCATGGTATTAACATTTTTCTCTCTTCTAAGAAACTTATAAATCACAATAATTTTATTGTATATATATGAGTTATATATAGATTTAAAACAATAAAATATTAAAATTAATTTTTTTGTTAAGATTTATTTTGATTCAAAAATAACAGTTTAAATTTAACTCGATCTAAAACTATTGTGCCAATTTGATAAATTATGTATAAATGTTTTATATTGTGTGCAGTATTTATAAATTAAACAATTTAATTTATGTAATAGAAAAAAATAAATCCACATAGTAGTAAATATTAACTATTATGTATAAAAATAAAATAAATAATGTTTTCGCATGAAGGTATTACATTTTACGAAACGGATTTAATTTGGAAGTAATTTGTAAATGCTTCTCTTAAATCTAACAAAAAAAAATTAAATACGTTAATAGAAGTTAATTTATATAAAAAAGCTAACACATTAATTAAAATAAGATTTGTTAAATACATACATGAATAATGCATCTAAATCAGTTTAAATATTAAAAATATTAAATATATATATGTATAGCTATTAAAAATGAAAAATATAATAGCAATGTATTTATCTACGGATAAGATACTTTCATTTAATTCGATACTGAAAAGAAAAAACAATATTAAAATCTTTTTACTTTTGTAGTGAAAACCCTACTATATCGTAATAATCTCAAAAGCATTTAAAAATGAAAAAGTAAAAAATTGTTAATTTCATCTGTACACAATATATATTTAGATGTAGTCGGTTACTATTTAAGATGAATTTACAACTAGCCAGAGAGACACTCGTTTCATAAAATCTATGATTTAAAACTTTATAATACGTACAAGAGGATGTGTCGTGATGAAATATGTGAAAGTTCTTACAAACTTTACTTAGTTAAGTCGCTTCGTAGGTTCTGTAGAAATGAAGATCCTGCAATTATGTCAATTTTCCTAATTAACGCAGGGCACTGGTATTAATCATTACTATAAATCATACACTGACTCTTTCATTTGTTCTTACAAGCGTTATATGTTAATTAGTATTTATACGGATATGAGGACATGACAAAAGGATTTTAAAAAGATTTTATATCAAAATTAAAACTTTCTTTAGAACTGAGATCTCTAAGTGAAAATGAACATAAAACAGAAAAATGTATATTCCTTTATTTACAATATTTAATGATTCAATTTCATTTTTATTTTTAGTTTTGCATCATTTTGCTTCACGCATGCTTATTACACTTCCCATCCTCATCCAACTAAAATCAGATTTATCGGATTTTAGAGCATTATAATTTTTTTTAATCAATTGAAAGTGTTTTTTTTTTTTGATTGAGTCTATCTTTAACTTCCTCTTTGGAAGATCTGTTATATTTCGAATTTTGAAATTGGATTTATATTTCAAAAATTGAAAATCAACTAGCAATTAAGTAGATTAAATTAATGAAGAACACTCAGTATTCCTTTC